AATTGCAGTTAAATGTTTAGTTTAATTTGTGAAGAGATTGTCAAACAAAATGTTGATAAATGGTTCGTGATTATACATAATTTAAGTTTCAGTAAAGCTATTATTGAAAATTGCTTTTAATTATTGAAAATGTTGGTGCACGAATATGTTTGAATAAAATCGTCTTACCATTTACCATTTACATTGCTTGGATTATATTTTTTTATGGAATATTGTTATATATATTATTGTTGTTGTTGTTTTTGGAGTTGTAATTCGAGTGCAAACGACAATTTTATTTGTTCTGTTGCATGAATAAATCTTCGTTGGATTTGAACATAAACTAATTTTGTCCCTTCACACATAAAAGTGATAAACTTCATAGGTCATATATATATAACCTACTAATGTGGATTCTAATGGATTCTAATGTGGATAAACATTAGTATAATACCTGGCCCGGAATTTCTATGTTGAGTACCTGAAAACACAATTAATCTATAAATCATCAATAGCTTTAAATATTTACTTAGAAAATTCTATATCGAATTAAAATTTTGAGGAGTACACTAGGGACGAGCATTAATTGCGCACACTGACCTTAGGCATTAATGCCTTTGAGACATTAATCTTAATTAGTAAATTAGATACATTAATTAATTAGTCTCAATTTGCACCACATGTGTTAGTAACAAAAATATTTTTTATTCAATATTAATAGAAAAGCTGAATCGATTAAAAGGAGATTTTGTAAACCTGTATACGATAAATCTAGTGAAGTCAAATGAATCATACTTCAAGCGGTGTATCGGTGTATAAATATTGGTTTTGCAGACGGATTTCCAATCGAGAAATATATCGGCAGACACGACGCTAGAGTAACATAGTACAGTTGTGTTTTAGCTACATTTGGTTTATGACAATATTTTTTTATATTCTGATTTGAATATAACGAATCCTAAGCTTAGGAAAAGAGTACGAATTTTGAAGAACAGTTAAAAAATGTTAATTTAATTAAATTGTTGACATGTGTAAAACAAATTATGAATTAAATTAGGCTACTGTTAAGCATTTTAACAAAGAAATTATATCAAAATGTTTTGTTTAATATTAAAAGTAGTTAACAAATAATGGGATATTGTACAAACTCTAAAGTATTAGAGTAATGGAGAAGGATTTTTAGGCATTTTATTAGGGCAGGATCAATGTTCTTAATAATAATTTACCCTTACAAACCGTAACGACAATCTCACTGTTTCCTAGAGATTTGAATATTAAGTAGAAATATTTGTCCATTTTAATAAATGCTTATATAATATAATCTGTTAACAAGGGAGATACAAGGTAGGGTAAATGGAATGGGTTAATGAAAAAAAGACAGCTATTTGAATATGCATCTGAATTAAATATTTGTAATATTAAATAGCTTCAAGGTAAGGAATTTAAATAAGAAAATTGAAACGATGTTGGATTTTGTGTTGTTTTAATAATTAATATTCATATTTTTTATTATCAAATTTATATGGGTATTATAAAGTGTATTCAGTGAAGTTTAAGAGCAAATATGAATGTTTTCAAAGTATAGCTGACTCAATTTAGGCACAGGAATATTATTAATGTTATTTATGGATAAAAGTTTAATTATTAGAACTCTCTACTCAAAAAACACTTTGTTAATCATTTTTTTATCCTAGGAGGTTTTTATTTTATTACTTATAGTTAAATTGTTTGGATTTGAGTGGAAACTGAACAAAACGCAATTTTAAAGTTAAACAAGGCTGAAGTTATGGTTATTGTCAATAATATATAATAGTTATTATTACACCTGACTAAGAGCACAATCAATTCAATTGGTTGGTTTACTTTCCGATCTTACCCTTTTTATGCAAAGAAATCATTAAATGAAATGTTATAAGCTATTCATGTCAAATCGCATGTTAATAACCTGAAATTGTTGTAGAATCCAAACATCTTAGAGGCCAAACCAAATTTTAATATGCGATACTATTTATAATTCTGATCTTGATTTCTTCAAACAGAATAATCTTCAGATTCTCAATAGGTATGTGCTTATTTCCTGATTAACGTAATTAACATATGAATTATAAAATAATGTAAAAATATTCAAACTGAATGATGATCTTTATACTTTCATATTAAATTCATATCTGTATGCGGTCAGTAAAATAAAAACAAGAATGTTTCTTCAGCTTATTGTACATTCAGTAGAGGATCTGACAGGGAAAGACATTTTTCTTGTAGATGTCACTTTGGTTTCCTCTTTTCCCCGTCAAATAAAGGTGAATTTTATGTAAATTTATATTATATGTAATACACCCAGTTACAAACAATCTGAATACCTACCAACGTTCTCTTAGCTTTATTGCATTTTAAGATAACATTAAATTAGGTTTAAATCGAATGATTTGTATTATCTGGAAAAACGTATAAGATACGATAAGTAAAAATAGTTCAGTAAAACTTAAAAAAACAATAATAATATTTTCTAAAGTGCAAGAAAAGACTTTAATGAATAGCAATATAGTATAACATGTTTATTCACAATTAGGATAAGATTAGGGATAAAAACCTGAGTTTAGCTAAGAATATCAGTTACTAGGAAAGATCTGATATTAAAATTAATGTTCATGTATTGAAATAGATACCAAATTGAAAGTTTTAAATAAATTATATTGTGAGTGGAAACCCCCAATAACTTTAGGTAAGTAAATTATGGTGTAAGTTACAGTGCTAACTTTTAATCTGAAGGTCGCTGTTTCGATTTCGAGCGAGATTACTACCAAACCAAGATACAATTTGACATTGGGCTTTTAAATAAAGATGCTTTTATAGAACACGTCGATATTAAATTTGTACCATTAACTTTAAAAATTTCAAAATGCCACAGGCTTAGATAAACAGAAAATAATAAATAAGTAAAACATATATGTACAAAACGTAAATATTTATTTTTATTTGCTTTTCCAAGACTTAAAAACCAAAATCTGACCCTAAGTCGGTGTAAAAAACACTGGTTAATAGCTATTATTTCTTAATATAGCAATGCCTCATTATTTCTTTTTTTCATATGTAGGAAATAAAATAAAATACTTAAGGTTCTGAAAAAAATACGAAAATTAAAATGATATTTTAGTAATTCGTTAAATCATATACTTTATGAGGTCTAATAAAAACAATCATAATTTAATCCAAACGGAAAACTATTCTTTAACTACTTAAAACATACTTAGAAGCTTGTATGTAAAGTAGTCGTTGCTCACCGACCCACATAATGGAAATGTGCGCGTAAATTGTTAATGTAGAGAGAAGGAAAGCAGGCCAATAAACCTCACAACTGAAAGAGGGGGTTATTTGATAAGTTGTTCTATGTTTATGAAGCAAATAAATTATAAATTTCGTTTGTTTAAGAAACTTATTTTGAAACGTGTACTTCTGGAGACTTCTTTATATTTGAGGAATACTTTCCATCCTCAATATTTAATAATATTACAACCTTAAAACACGGAGGTGAAAACGCTGTTTTTTTTTTCAAATTTGTAAGACATTGAATGTAACTATAGTTTATGTATATGCTTAAGTAATTATTGATGGCTATTTAACAGATTGGAGAGCAATCCAGTCAAGTGGTAAATCCCGGCCTCAGATCTTGAGGTTCTGTGTTAAAATCCCACCGATTATGAATGGATTTTATCCATGCAATAATGCTGCGACCTTTCTGGGAATAGTTTAAAATAATGTGCAAAACATATCCGGGCTAGAACAAGGCCCCACTAGAAAAAACAGGCTATGCTGCAGGATCCATGACGTCACACTAGTTGATAGATTCTCATTTATAAATTCATTGCCATTGCCATATGTTTTAGGTAAATAAGCAAGCTGACTGATTGTTTTTTAAGATTTTAATGGTAAGAGTTTAGTTCAACTATCCACCACTGTGACGTAGTGTTGCGCTGCCCTGTTTTTCTAGTGGGGCATTGACTAGAACCTTATCATAGAGACAGAAAAACTTCTTATTATTACCTATTTTTAAGTATCAACTGTAATAAAATATAATTGTATTGTTTAAAATATTAATAACAAAGTTTTGAACTACTTTCAATTTTGTATATGAATTTTAAGTAAACACATTAGAAGATGATGAAATTGATCAACAATTGAACAAACTGCTCTTATGCAGGCTAGTGTTTGAGCGTGTCGTATAGGGTATGTCGATATCGAAAGAAACTTAAGGCTGGCTTGTATACTGTTATATTTTAAAAACAACATACAAACAATAAAATTACTATACAAATAGAAACAATTAAAAAAATAAAGTTACATTTTCCATAAATATGTAGACTATGAATAGTAAACAACGTGATGACGAAGCTATATATTCTGAGATTAAGTCTGAATTTTATCCTTGTAATATTTAATCAATTTTTATTTTCACGAGTCGTGGGTATTTTTTTATTAAAACTTTCTATACTAGATTTTGGATGAGATATAATAAAGTAAATCAAATCTTAAAACTGTTTACAGATTAAATACTCATTGGAAAGAATAGTGTTTGAATCATTGCCTTCGATCGTATATTTATTTACATTTTGTTTGGTGTATTTATACAAAAAGTTATTTTTTTACTGTATTTGGTTACTTTATTATTAAGTGAAGATAAATACAATCACTTAGGCAACTGTTGTCAGGGAGCAACTCGTTGCTAATAGCCAGTTGTATTGTTGGGAGTTGATGGATCATCTGTTTTCTATTGTTTTTATAACCGTGTTGTAAAAACATGATTAATGAGCGACGGGCTGTAATATCTACTATGTTTCTTCCCTTTTCCTCGTTAATAGTCATAGGATAACCCAAATTACAGAAGATAAAATATCTTTATTAAGTAAATGTTTTAATATCGCTATTTACTAAGTTTGTTTGCAGGATATCATTTAGTTGTGTATTGAAACTTGATAAAATCATTGGTATTATAGTAGGTCTTACACAGGGCTAAAAAAAGGGTCATGGGCGTAAAAGGGCAAAGGGCCAAAAAAGGACAAAGGGCCAAGAGGGGCAAAGGACAAAAAAAGTCCAAGATAAACAAATGGCAAAGTGCCAAAAAGGCCGAGGGGAAAAATGGAAAAGGGCCAAGGACTAAAAAGACCCAAGGGCAAGAAAGGGCAAAGGGCCAAAAAGGGCCAATGGCAAGAAAGTGCAAAGGGCAAAAAAGGGCCAAGGTAAAAAAGGACAAAGGGCCAACAAGGCCAAAGGGCAAAAAAGGGCAAAGGACCAAAAAGGGCAAAGGGCCAAAAAGGGCCAAGGGCAAAAAGGCAAAGGGCCAAAAAGGGCAAAGAGCCAAAAAGGGGCAAGGTAAAAAAGGTCAAAGGGCCAAAAAGGGCCAAGGTAAAAAAGGGCAAAGGGCAAAAAAGTAGCAAAGGGCCAAGGGCTAAAAAGACCCAAGGGCAAGAAAAGGCAAAGGGCCAAAAAGGCCAAAGGGCAAAAAGGGCAAAGGGCCAAAAAGGGCCAAGGGGAAAAATGGCCAAGAGAAAAAAGGGCCAAAAAGGGCTAAGGGCCAAAAGAGCCAAAAAGGGCAAAAAAAGGTCAAAGGGCCAAAGTAAAAAAATCCAAAGGGCCAAAAATGGCAAAGGGCAAAGGGCTTAAAAGACCCAAGGGCAAAAAAGGGCAAAGGGCAAAAAAGGACAAAGGGCAAAAAAGGGCCAAGGTAAAAAAGAGCAAAGGGCAAAAAAGGCCTAAGGGCAAGGAAAGGCAAAGGGCCAAAAAGGCAAAAGGGCCAAAAGTGCTAAGGGAAAAAGGGCCAAGGGAAAAAGGGACAAAAAGGGCAAAGGGCCAAAAGGGCCAAAAAGGGCCAAGAACAAAAAAGGGCCAAGGTAAAAAAGGACAAAGGGCCAAAAAGGGCAAAGAGCCAAAAAGGGCCAAGGGCAAAAAGGCAAAATGCCAAAAAGGGCAAGGGCTATAATGACCCAAGGGCAAGAAAAGGCAAAGGGCAAAAAAGGGCAAAGGACCACAAAGGGCAAAAAAGGATAAAGGGCCAAAAAGGGAAAAAAAGGCCAAAAAGGGCCAAGGGCAAAAAAGGGCAAGGGGCATAAAGGGCCAAAAGGGCATAGGGCCAAAAAGGTCCAAAAAGGGCAAAGGGCCGAAAGGGCCAAAAAGGTCAAAGGGCCAAAAAGGGCAAAGGGCCAAAAAGGGCAAAGGAAAAAAGGCAAAGGACCAAAAAGGTCAAAGGGAAAAAAGGGCCAAAAAGGACAAAGGGCCAAAAAGGGGAAAAAGGCCAAAAAGGGCCAAGGGCAAAAAAGGGCAAAGGGCATAAAGGGCCAAAAGGGCATAGGGCCAAAAGGGCCAAGGGCAAAAAAGGACAAAGGGCATAAAGGGCCAAAAAGGGCCAAAAAGGGCCAAGGGCAAAAAAGGTCAAAGGACCAAAAAGGGCAAAGGGCCAAAAAGGACAAAGGGCCAAAAGGGCAAAGGGCCAAAAAGGGCAAAGGAAAAAAGGCAAAGGACCAAAAAGGGCAAAGGGAAAAAAGGACCAAAAAGGGCCAAGGGCAAAAAAGGGCAAAGGGCATAAAGGGCCAAAAAGGGCAAAGGGCCAAAAAGGGAAAAGGGCAAAAAGGGCAAAGGGCAAAAAAGGTCAAAGGGCCAAAAAGGACAAAGGGCCAAAAGGGCAAAGGAAAAAAAGCAAAGGACCAAAAAGGGCAAATGGAAAAAAAGGCCAAAAAGGGCAAAGGGCCAAAAGGGCAAAAAAAAGGGCAAAGGGCAAAAAAGGAAAAAAGGGCCAAAAAGGGCCAAGAGCAAAAAAGGGCAAAGGGCATAAAGGGCCAAAAGGGCAAAGGGCCAAAAGGGCCAAAAAGGGCCAAGGGCAAAATAGGGCAAAGGGTCAAAAATGCAAAAGAAAAAAGGCAAAGGACCAAAAAGGGCAAAGGGCAAAAAAAGGGAAAAAAGGACGAAGGGCAAAGGGCCAAAAGAGGAAAAAGGGCCAAAAAGGGCCAAGGGCAAAAAAGGGCAAAGGGCTTAAAGGGCCAAAAGGGCCAAAAAGGGCAAAGGGCCAAAAGGGCCAAAAAGGCCAAAAAGGGCCAAGGGCAAAAAAGGGCAAAGGGCCAAAAGGGCCAAAAAGGGCAAAGGGCAAAAAAGGTCAAAGGGCCAAAAAGGGCAAAGGGCCAAAAAGAGGAAAAAGGGCCAAAAAGGGCCAAGGGCAAAAAAGGGCAAAGGGCTTAAAGGGCCAAAAGGGCCAAAAAGGGCAAAGGGCCAAAAGGGCCAAAAAGGCCAAAAAGGGCCAAGGGCAAAAAAGGGCAAAGGGCCAAAAAGGGCAAAGGGCAAAAAAGGTCAAAGGGCCAAAAAGGGCAAAGGAAAAAAAGGGCAAAGGACAAAAAAGGTCAAAGGGCCAAAAAAGGGCAAAGGAAAAAAGGTAATGGACCAAAAAGGGTTAAGGGAAAAAAGGGCATAGTGCCAAAAGGGCAAAAAAGGGCAAAGGGCATAAAGGGCCAAAATGGCCAAAAAGGGCAAAGGACCAAAAGGGCCAAAAAAGGGCAAAGGACAAAAAAGGTCAAAGGGCCAAAAAAGCGCAAAAAACAAAAAAGGTCAAAGGGCCAAAAAAGGGCAAAGGAAAAAAGGCAAAGGACCAAAATGGGCAAAGGGAAAAAAGGGCCAAAAAGGGCATAGGGCTAAAAGGGCAAAAAAGGGCAAAGGGCATAAAGGGCCAAAGGGGCCAAAAGGGCCAAAAAGGGCAAAGGGCAAAAAAGAAAGGGCAAAGGGCCAAAAAGGGCAAAGGAAAAAGGCAAAGGGCCAAAAAGGGCCAAGGGAAAAAAGGTCAAAGGGCCAAAAAGGGCAAAGGGACAAAAAGAGCAAAGGGCCAAAAAGGGCAAAGGGCAAAAAAGGTCAAAGGGCCAAAAAGGGCAAAGGAAAAAAGGGCCAACAAGGGCAAAGGGCCAATAGGGCCAAGGTTAAAAAGGGCAAAGGGCAAAAAAGGTCAAAGGGACAAAAAGGGCAAAGGCCCAATAAAGGGCCAAAAGGGCAAAGGGCCAAAAGGGCCTAAAAGGGCCAAGGGCAAAAAAGGGGAAAAAAGGGCAAAGGGCAAAAAAGGGGGAAAAGGGCCAAAAAGGGCCAAGGGCAAAAAAGGGCAAAGGGCTTAAAGGGTCAAAGGGGCCAAAAGGGCCAAAAAGGGCAAAGGGCAAAAAAGAAAGGGCAAAGGGCCAAAAAGGGCAAAGGAAAAAGGCAAAGGGCCAAAAAGGGCCAAGGGAAAAAAGGTCAAAGGGCCAAAAAGGGCAAAGGGACAAAAAGAGCAAAGGGCCAAAAAGGGCAAAGGACAAAAAAGGTCAAAGAGCCAAAAAAGGGCAAAGGAAAAAAGGCAAAGGACCAAAAAGGGCAAAGGAAAAAAGGGCCAAAAAGGGCATAGGGCCAAAAGGGCCAAAAAGGGCAAAGGGCAAAAAAGGTCAAAGGGCCAAAAAGGGCAAAGGGCCAAAAAGAGCAAAGGGCCAAAAAGGACAAAGGGCAATAAAGGGCCAAGGTAAAAAAGGTCAAAGGGCCAAGGTAAAAAAGTGAAAAGGGCCAAAAAGGCTAAAGGTAAAAAAGGGCTAAGGTAAAAAAGGGCAAAGGGCAAAAAAGGGCAAAGGGCATAAAGGGCAAAAAAGGGCAAAGGGCAAAAAAAGGGGAAAAAGGGCCAAAAACGGCCAAGGGCAAAAAAGGGCAAAGGGCCAAAAGAGCAAAGGGCCAAAAAGGCAAAGGGCCAAAAAGGGCAAAGGAAAAAAGGCAAAGGACCAAAAAGGGCAAAGGGAAAAAAGGGCCAAAAAGCGCAAAGGGCCAATAGGACCAAAAAGGGCCAAGGGCAAAAAGGGCAAAGGGCAAAAAAGGTAAAAGGGCCAAAAAGGGCAAAGGGCCAAAAAGAGCAAAGGGCCAAAAAGTACAAAAGGCAATAAAGGACAAAGGGCAAAAAAGGACAAAGGGCCAAAAAGGTCAAAGGGCCAAAAAGGGCCAAGGTAAAAAAGGGCAAAGGGCAAAAAAGGGCAATGGGCCACAAAGGGCCAATGGCAAAAAAGTGGCAAAGGGCCCAAAATCGGCCAAGGAAGAAAAAGGGCAATGGGTCTAAATTTGCAAAGGGCCAAATAGAACGAAAGGCGAAAACGGTCATAGGGCCAAGGGCCAAAAAGGGTAAATGTTAAAAAATGGCAAAAGGCAAAAGGGCCAAAGGCCAAAAAGGGTAAGGGGCTAAAAAGTGGCTTTGGACTGTTTTGTCTCTGTCCTTTTTCGGTACTTTACTGTTAAGGGGAACATTCATTATTATTGATGATTTCATTTCAATTCATCGATATTTTTTCCCTTTACTATCCATATTGCTGTACACCTGATTTAATATCTTCAAACTTAGCTTAGAACAGTTTCATTTTAATATACTTTCCATAAATGGAATAAGTTATTACCCTAGCATGGTAAGACCTACCTATGGAAATTTTTCACACTGATTTAAACACAATTTTTAATATAAGCATGAAAGTGTTGGTGATTTTTTTCTTGTTGCAAACAATCTGACCTTAAAGGCCACAGAGAAAATCTTGCTGGAAAAAGAAAAATCTGAACAAATGAAGTGCAACACTCAATTTGCTCCATGTCTTCCATGAACTAGTTCGTCTGTTTTTTGTATGTTTCTGTGTAGAAATATCTCATTACCCTATTTGTTTGTTGTTTTTAATTAATATAAAATTATTATTTCATATTCAACAGGTACTAATGAGTAGATTTATAGTTTAAGCAAACGGCTCAGCTTTAAACCAATTGCGTTTACCGGGCTCATTTCCGGTCCAACAATCACAACAATGCATCTGTGTTATCGCGTTTCCGGTCGGTGGAACCAACCCTTGCATGTAGAGTGATATGTTGCACTACTTCACTCTCCACTGCAATTGACAAATACACGTAGGTTTGTAGCAATTATAACATTTTATCTGTTAAGACTTGCGTAGATACTTTTAACATCAATTATTACTGTTAATATAAAATACCCCCACCCCATCAAACATGCAGACTAAGCGAATTTCCATTTGCCTGATTTGATTTTCAATCAAATCTATTCAAATAACATTAGGTTGAACGAGTACCTAGATTTACTGCCTACAGGGAGGTTACTACCACATATTATTAATGTGTTTTAGGAAAATATTAATAGCTTAGTATAAAATAAATAGATTTGCCAGGTTTGATCCAAATATATCCATAAAAACAAGCAAACTACAACAGTTTACTTATTCATGGAATAACATGGGAATTTTTAATTTACAATTATTTCTCCGTAACCAATAATCATACAGAAACACTTCAATATACTAAATTATTGTGTTTAAGCTCCTCAAAATTTTCTAGAGAAAATTTAGGAAATTTTATGTTTTGAGGGTCAAAAACGAGAAAACCCAATTTTTACCCCCTAAAACCCCGTTCCCATGGTCCAATCATGCTGGTTCGCGAAATCGTTTGAATAGACGTAGGTTTACACGTTTGTACCAAATTTCATCGAAATCAGATCATCTTTGCTCGAGTTATTGTGCTAACGGACACAATTACCAATTTTAACAAAAAAATACGGCAAAGTGTTGTAAGAGTTATAAATACTAATCTTTTATAATAATAGGTTGTTAAGAAATTTCCACGAGTTATAATTTAAGTGGGGAAGCACAAATAAAGAATGTAAAAAGAGTGAAATACAATGCTAAAGGGGGATAAATATAGGAAAAGCTAGGAGTCAGCTGCTACAAAACATCAGATAGGCCTCGTAAACAGCAAAATATTGTACTGTACCATCATTCGCTTGAGTTCCACTTACCTTTTACGATCAAACTTTAGCATTGTTTTACGCACGTTCTGCAGTATACATCAATATTTCAGATAAGTTCTTCGATACTAGATATGAAATATTAGCAATCTGTTCAGTAAAATTATGAATATATATTTTATAGTTCTGTATAAACTATAAACGTGTTTTCAACACGTATTTTATTAGGCAATAGCATGCTTAGTACTAAGAAATTGAATTAACGAGTAACAGGAAATACGTTAACTTTTGGCATTTAAGTACTAACGACTATTTAAGTTATTCTATAGCAATAAATATTTGTGACATTTTATTGAATAATTACGATTTGTTTTTAAAATATTACACATTATAATGGGGACAGTTTCAAATAATTTGTCCATGATCAATCGTTGTAACAAACTTTCTGGAATTGAGAATTATTAAAGTGAAACAAATTTGATTGAAATCTGATGTTGACTAATTGAAAAACTTCTGTGAGTCTTGTTTATAGTTTGAGCTTATACTGGAGTAAAATTACAGTTTTAGTTATATTAGTCAGAAGTCAAAAAGTTTGTTTTTATATAGATGAACAATAGAGTAAATACTATTTACAATAATAACATTTTATGTCCTATTCAATTTGTATTCTTTATGCTGTTACTTAAGCTGAGCTACAACCTTAAGTATAGCTATTATAGACATAACCAATGCATGTAAATTATGTAAATCTGGTTGAATAAATGACTTATGACTTATTAGTATATTATACTGTTTTGTTTGATCGAAAGGAAAACAAAAAAGTCTACCAATAAAAACCAACCATTATTATTAGTAATCAATGAATGTTTTGTTTTTATTTAAAATTTTAATAATTTTTTTATATGTTAATCATTATAAAAATGTATAAAAAAATACTTCAAACCTAAAACACGAAGGTGAAATGGTGCATATCGTATGGAATCATAAACAAGGAAATATCGGACCCTTAACCGCTTATATCCTACTTTGCTTTTACCATTGTTCTCATATAGTATGGCTTATACAATACATGGTTTTTAGTATTTAATTGAGTCAAAAATCTTCATTATTTTGTAATTAAATAAAACTTTAGAGTTACCTTAATTTGTATTTTAGGTGGAATGTGTTTATTGTAATAATTTATATACAACTTAAAATTTGTTGGAAAACGTTAAAATAATTGTATTTTTTATGTACGTTGAAGCTTAAGTTTTTGATAATTTTTCACGATGATGTATTATAAAATTTAGAAAAAAGATCCATCTAATAGAGCAAAATATGGAATTTTTTTTTCAAAACCACTCCAATGGAATGGTGGAGCAACATTTTAATTTATTTGGATAAAAGAAATGTTTCATTAATTTGTATTTTCATAATGTGTAGTTTTATATTGCAATTCATATATGACACTGCTATAGAACAAAACGTAAAAAATGTTAGAAAAACGATGAATGCAAGATATATAAAAAGTTAGAATATAAGCTGGAGTTTCTATATAATTTTTCAAACGATTATTTTTTTATATGCTCTCTAATTAAAGAAATATTATAAACATATTGTTTTATTTAATAAATTTTGTAGATCCTGTAGTCATTTTATATTTAAACTCAAATTATTATCGAACTGTATTTTATGTCCATACAAATAATTAATTAACAGAATTAACTATTAAGGCTGTAAAAACTTCTTTTTTATTTATAGTATTATTAATTGACAATATTACAATTTACAAGGATCATATTATTAGTATTTAATATTAAATAAAATAATATCAATCTTTTTTTTTATTCCTATCCCTAACCTTGATCCATTCTCACAACATTTTCTTCAAAGATCGCATACCATACACAAATATTCAAATTAAAATATATAAATCTGTTTAAAAACTACATTGGTTGTAGAATCTACATTAACTGGTTTTGTTTTCTGTTATTAACGATATGCAGAAGGTGTAGTTCAATATATTCCCTGCGTGACGGAGATGATGCACTAGGCATGTCACGTTATGCATAAATCTCAGGATATGCATAACATTCTGGCAACAGGAGTGAAAATCTTACTCTAGTTGCCATACAGCAACTTGCATTGCTAGTTCTTATAAAATTTAACCAATACGTTAATTCTTTATGATAAGTGTTCTACAATTAAGATATAATGATTTTATAAACATAGAATAAGCAGTAGAATGCTTAGGAAACTCTGGTATAAGTATACAAATTAAATGATACACATACTTTCTGATTTTAAATAAAACAATCATCCTCAATATTTATGATCTTTTAAAAGATAAATTCCTTCTTCCTATTAAGAATTTTGAATTTTATTATTTTGTTTTAATTGCGGATCCTTGCCTAATTGGGGTAATTTAAATTTTGGTTTAAAATGTTTATTTTTATCTCTGTTGGATTTGTCCCAGTATATTTTTACGTGATGTTTATTAGTCAATAATTATTTTTGCACATCTAAACCATTGCTAAATTAAGATAATCGTAACTTAAGCGATACATTGAATAATGAAATATTTATTTATGCACTACTAATACTAATACTTACTACTTAGTCATAGTATTTTTAGATAACCACAATTTTGTAAAGATATTTCCTTTCTTGAAATTTTGTAAAATATTACTATGGTAAAAAAACTAAGCATAATTCACAATTCGTTCAAGTTTGTGTTTTTATGTCAGTAAAATACCAATGTTCCCATA